AATGGTGACGTCGCATTTTGGTACTATCATCTCCGAAGGTTTAGGCTAGGTTTTTTCACTGTACAATGATATGAACTTTGCTGGGTAGTTCTTGAGCTTCAGCGCTTCCGTAAGCCGGATTAGCTCACGTTACACGTTACTTGAAGTGTACAGCCTCCTAGCTTATTGGACTGGAGTGCATGACTTCTAGACAATCAAAAACCAATCGTGTGTACACATTTGGATTCAGAGTTGGATCAGCCGAATGAATCTCTGTTCAGATTCCAAATTGTCGAACCCAAAGATCTACGGTATATAGGGAGATAGGTGCTAGACCGTAAAAAAAGCGACTTATCGACTTCCGCAACTCCACCAATAAGCATTGTGCTATTGTTGCTAAACTGCCACTTCGTTCCATTGAGACAACCAAGCTACATTGACATGGTGGTGCAGCAAGGGTACGGTTGCGATCTCCCACTGATATGACCTTTCGTTCACCCTTTGGCCGCCATTTTCTGATAGGGAACAACACTTGCACTGTTATGTGAATCGTACACGTGAGAAAGAGAAGGTACCATTTTTACAATACCTTGCTCTCCAACTGAAACGTAGTACGATATAATTTTATTTGTCACCCTAATGCGTGCAATAGGAGACAAAAAGAAATCAGGTTGAGTAAGTATCATGGACAACCGTCGGGACAAAAGCAAATTCAAATACGTCATTACCACAGATGGGTACGAGTCACAAGTTATTAGCATTAAATCCAAGACAAACGTACGAGCAGTTCGCATAGAACTCGGCAGGCCAGTCACTGACACCTTCGACTGCATCCAGATCGGTTCCGATCAACAACGTCTCGTGGGCATCATTCACCCCGTCCTCTGTATCACCAGTTCCACTAGTCGTTTGTTTTGTTCGTGCACTCACCACGGGGATTTCATCGGTTGAACGATGTTCCGTCAATGCGGGCTCGACACCGGTATTCGTTAGCCAACGCTCTAGACGGGAAACACAGCCGTCTATGATTTGCAAACTGTTTAACAATTCCTGCACGCATACAACAACAAAGAATGTGCGAGCTGAGTAAGACGAGAAAGCTTGTTTACAAATCCAGGTCAAACAAACAGTGCGAATGTTGTAACATTTAAAATGAGGGTAAAAAAAACATGTTGTTGTTTGATGGAGTCGATCGAGCGAAAACATAAGTAGCACAGCACTTCCTCCTAATAGAATAGGTTTCGGCCTGTGCGTACATGCACGAATGAAGTCAAAACACAGTAGACTAGTGAAACTCTTAGAAAAATACGTGGTCGCACGTGGGCCTACATGTGTAACAAGGTTTAAAATTACGGTGCTATGCTACGAGGTCTACCATGTCCATCCAACTTTGGTGGTAGGCAGTCATACTGTCGTCGGGTTCGATAGTGCATCAACCTATTTGGGCTTCAAGGTTCAAAGATTGGTTGTCATAGGTGGACAATGAGTTGTCATGGCAACAGGATTCAGCGCTTCAACCGTTTACCTTACAAAGATGTGTATTCAAAGGAGTTGGAGGAGAATCCTCAAACAAAGACGCAGAACAATGTAATTTGGTCGGACATTTTTCAAGTTTTTTTCACAAAAAAAACAGAATGGCTTTCAGGTAGTAGAACAGCTTGTCTATATTATATTCAATTATTGTACAGGACTATGAGGTTCACTCGCTCTACCGTTCATTAAACAGTAATATGTAATAAAAAACGGATGAAGAGCCGGTAGTCAGTGAGCGTTATGACATGCCCATTGACAGAGACAGCAAAAGACACTTGACTCCATCAAGTTTTCATTAATCCAGGGGATCATTTTCAAAAGACTATGAAGTACTGTTTTCCTGCAAGACACTGAATATGTTATTTGGAAATTAAAATTACTTTGTTCTAGTTACGCAAGAATGGGGGTGCATTTGATGTTGTTCACGTAAAATGACCGTTTTAAATTTCTATTCATTCGTCGTTAGTTTTAACCAACTGAGAAATATGGAACAGAAAAGGCGCGTAGGCTGCAGCGTTATCCACATCAGTCATGGATGCACAGCCGCGCACGCCCGTCATGTGATGCCACATCTACATCTTGTATTGTTTCGTTTCGTAACAAAATCCTAGTCACGGGACAAACCTGCAAGTAGACGAGTCAAGTTGGGAACAGTAAGTGACGGAACTAATTATAATTCACATATAAAAAAACAAAACCGCAGACGGTAGTGAGCCAGCTCGTGCAATCGTAAAACGGACAATAGTTGATGATGGGCTAACGGAAATTTGCGTATCATGTGAATGATCTATTGTAAAAAAGTAAAACAGATAAGATGCTAAATTAAGTAACGGAATGATGCGTCAAACAAAACATAAACCAATTGGAAAATTGAAATACTATATTTCGGTAAGTTTCGTAGGGATGTAACAACTTGGAATTTGATCGAAATGAAGAATCTTTTATTAGCTGCGAAAGTCCACCCCTTTGATCGTTGAGAAAAAAATAATCGATAATCAAATATTAGCTTTATCGGTAAATTTGGGCACAACTTCAATAAAATCAATTAAGTATAATGTGTAAAAGTTGCTCCCGACACCATACTTATACAATAAACTACATTGTAGTCATTTCAGTGCATCCGAAAGCCTCAGCCTTCCAGCGTTAAACGTAGCGAAACACTTCTATACGATCGAGCATCTCGAATAGCCCTTGCTAAGGAAGCTCTACTCAGTGCCCTAACGTGGCGGTGAGACATCACAAAAGTTAGAGGAGAAACAGACAAAATCCAGAATTGTAACCAGGTAGGTGAACCACTGGGGGCGCATTTAGGGGAGTTGGCTAAACAACAAACATCCAATATATATATATATATATATATCAAGAGTGCTCAGTAATAGTTAGATGAGCAAAGCCAATAGGTGAGATATGACTCACTTTTTTCTCTCGGATTCGTTGACGCTCTTTTAATTGACTAGATAATTGTTCTTCAATGGATGACAACTGATTTAAAACTTCCTGGGTAATAAAAGAAAGGATAAAACACGAACAATAAATTACAGGGTCGGTCAGCAATTTACGATGGAGAGAGAGAGAGAGACGTGAACCGATGGAGCAATAATTGCTGTATCAGAATATGAAAGGAACGGTGACATTCTCACATCAAAGAGATCATGGTGCTGGAAAAATTGGCTACTCCCATACGAGACACATAGTATGACACGAATCATAACGCCAGAGAATATTGAAGTCATCGATAAACGCAAAATAGATGAAACGAGATTCTCGATATCAATGCGGTTCTTATTGACTCCGGTTTCCCCATCAGCTGGTTATGAGTGCGTTGATTTAAACGTGTCAGTCCTGAATGAAACAATCATCAACTCGTTATAAAAACAGGACCTAGTAATACCAGCTTCGATAGTTTCAAACTGAGAAGTCATATAATTTTCATCTCATCACTTGCAAGTTCATCTAATTGGGATAGTAAGGACGGAGCGGACAACACCCACACAGAACTACGTTCGCAGCACGTCCAGACCGGATCGAACCACTGTAACACGAATCAAATGACGGTTGTCATATCAACCATTTGGAGAGTAAAGAGCGAAATCTACTTGGTGCGTCATGGTATCCTCGGGCTAGAGACGTGTCGATCCATGATTACACAGAGCGCTCTGGCTGTCGCCCTCGTTGTTTTATCTGTTCCGCGAATTCACTGTTGGTGGCTAAGCGAGAGGCGCTCGTTTGAATCGTGTCTGGGTAGAACACAGTAGAGATGTACAGGTATTGACCAAACTCATGCAATATCCTGATTTTCATCACATTTGTTCCTCTCAATGCTTTGTTTTCCAGCCTCATTCACGGGATTGCACGAGTTTGGTCAACACCTGTACAGACTAATCATCTCAGACTACCGTCTATCTTGAACACGAATGATACTGTTTGGGTAACTAGTTAGGGAAGACCAATGGAATGAATATATATTGACAACCTGTGTGGGACGGGGTCCGGCAGGCATTGCGTGTGTTTGAAGTAGAGTGCCGTAAAACACACAAGGCATCAGATAAATCCATGTTGAACAAAGAGAAAGAAAAAAGTGGAACCTATGAATTAGCAAAAATATCCGCACATTAATATTACTAGGGTTACTAGGGCTCATCATTGAGGAAGGCAAAGAAAACTGAATATGACAAACGGATAGTACTAGTTATCCCTGAGATAGTGAACAGTGAAGGGGCATCTCTAGTGATTGTACATCCGAGTGCTTTTTGCAAGGCAGAAGATGCAAACCTTAT